GGCAGTCCCCCATTAAAGGCGTTAGCCTTGGTAAGATACAAAAGTACCATACAATCATACACAGGGTTCATAAATATAAAATTTATACAACATTCATTTTTTATATTTTTTTGGTATTCTTAGATTTTTTTTTATATATCCCGAGTTGCACATACATCGCAAGGAAACTCAGCCTCGGCCCAAGTAACTTGGTGGAGTCCTATAACACTGCTCTAAAGTAGACTAATCAGGCTATATTTGCTTGTTCATAATTTTCCTTTTCTTCGAATAAATATAAGCTCATAATTTCTCCCCGTTTTAATCAGCCCCAAGTATACAAACCACCTCTCATATGCATACCTAAGACCATATAACAAATCATCCAACAAGTATGGGCTCTTGAAACTGATGCAACCCTGCCACTGATATCTTTAACATATCACAGCAAAAGCATCATATCCTACTCATGGATAATGACACCACATATATCAGATTTGGAATTGATAAAAGCATGGGATCTCTCTATCACAATTACGAAAGAAAGTCGAGGAAAATTACAAAATCTTATTCATCATATTGTGATGGAGAGCACAGGAGCCCTTTACTCTGCTGAACACGTCATTGAGGCTTGTTTGCTCATATGCCTGCTTATTTTCCTCTTTCCTTGAAGAAGGAAATTTGAGTGCCATTGAGAAGAGGGGGTGGGATACCTTTTGAGGTCTTTGTCATTCGAATCCACATAGTAGAGACCAAATGTAACAACCTTTACAGGTGCCAACTCCACACAATCAACAAAAGACCAGACAAAATACCCTTGAATATTTGATCTATTCCTGTTTACAAAATTGGGTTTCATAAGTCAGACAGAAAAGGCCAAAGTTTTGAAGATACCCGGCGCAATTTGTTTTCCCCAGAAAGTTGTAATCCTTCTTCTAGTTAAAAGAGGTAGCAGAACAACTTATAATCATAATCTAGACCACATTTTGGCAACTTATAGTCATAATCTACACCGGATTGTGAAGCCTATTACTTGAGTCGAAGGCAAGTTCAAATTTCTCAAGGTTTAGTAATGAGTGCGTGTGGCACTCTCACGAGGTAGCATGGTGTGCTGTCCTTGGGCAAAAGACCTACTTAAACCGAGAATGAAGCTGGGGACATGGTGGTAGTACCACCTGAGCCTCAAAACTCAATTCTCACTAACACTTAATTGACTCTTTGCGAAACAGGGTTATGTGGTAGTACCACCTGAGCCCAAAACTCCATTCTCACTAACACTTACAAACAATTGATTCCCTTTCCAAGATAGGTAGGGACCTGTATTCCCCACTAATCTACCAAAAAAAAAAAAAGATCTACTTAAGGGTTAAATTTACTTTAGAATCACTAGGTGTATTTAAAAAAAAAAAAAAAGATTTTGACTTCCTAAACACTTAGGTCTGAGCATCCAAAAATTGTACAATCTTTCTTCAACCTTGGGTTAAATCCCCAAATTCTGAAGTCCAAAGAACACTCCTACATAAGGCTTTACCCGAGGGAGTGAATGTACAATATGCTCTTGTGGGAGCATATAATCTTTAGTTTTTAAGAATTTTACCTTACAAAGGAGCAAAGCTTCCAAGTACACCTTCAAGTACCGAACCCGAGTATCATCACTTCCGGTTTCGAGACTAGGAGGGGAATCAGAATGTCGCGTTTCAAAGCCTGAGGATTTATTCGTACACATTAAACAGTCAACACAGTTTTCACCATGAGTGAACCAGATTTATTTTCCTTTATTCGCATTATGCACGAAAGCACCTAAGTGTAGGGTACATGTGATCCTCCAACAAGGACCATTGTCTAATGTGAATGTTCAAAAACAAAACCATTGTCTAATGTGGCTGATTTCCACATTTATTGGCTTTTGGTTTGGGGAATGAAACTTTTCTTTATGCATACTTGGTGTAAACTTCAGTACATATTACTGCACTATGCAATTATTTATGTGTTTTACTCATCCTTTTGTGTGCAAGCATCAGGGAGAGAGAGGGAGACTTGTGCCTTGTGCTTACCATTTTCGTGTATGAAGATCTTGACATCCTTGTAGGAGTGCCTGAAGTACTCCAAGAGTTCTATCATAGCCCGAGGAAAGACTGGTTGCTCCCCTGTCTTCCACATGAAAATCTTTATAAGACATTCCAAGTGTTAAAAACTCGACTTGGCCAATGTACTCAGCCCTTGGCTGAGTGACTCGGGCGAGTCCACTCGATCCGTACAGGGCAAAAAGGCTTTAGAAAAATTTAAAAATAAAATCACAAAAATATATATAATGAAGGTAGTAAAAGTAAAATAAAACTAAAAGCAACCTTAAAAAGTTCAAGTAAGCTTAAAAAGGTATTACAAATAGATAGCTGATTTTGTAGATAGGAAGATTTTAGAAAATCCACAAAAAGAAAATTATAAAAAAGGGGATTATGGCAAAAAACACTCATCAATCATTTCCAAAAACATATAAATCACTTAAAAGAATTACACGCTGTTCATATATTTTTTACAATTCTTTGAATTTTTAAATTTTTTTAATGTGCCCCAAGTTGTGCACAGAACTCGGGACTACTCGAACTCGTGAGTCTAGATAAACTCGGCTGAGTCATGGAACACTGACAAAATCAGTGCATCATCGCTTGAGAGATCTGATAATTACCCCTTCTGATGGATTGAAACCCTCAATGATACCACCACAACATAGTCAAATGGCAATGCAAGTATGCTATGTCAACTATCTGATCTCTTAAAAACATAAAAGTAAAAACTCAGTTTTTCTTTTTTCTGTTATGCTTTAGAAGTTATGCACCCAAAAAATATGGAGAAAGTTTGCACACCAAAACAAATTCTAGCAAAGATAGTTCATATGCATATTATCTACTAAAAGAAAAAAAATCTAAATATTTTCTTTGCTAGTGGGATCCTGTCTTGGTATCTTACACACCCAAAATTAATTTGACTCTTTGATAATAAAATTAACTGAAAATCAAGTGTACATGTCTACATATATTTCTGTATAAATTAATTCTTGTGTCTGTATTGTGTGGGATTCTCCTAAATGCACTCGACACAGATCCTTGTTACATTGCTTCCAAAATGGTAGATAACGAGTATTTTGGAGTTCAAAAAAGAAGAAAGAGACTCGATTTTTCATGACCCATTTTTAGAATTATCAGTGCATGGTCATAATCACCAGCTAAATTGATTACTCTTGGATTAACCCATAAACTGGTATAGAGTTACATGTGCTTCATCCCTGATATCAAAAGCATCCAAATGAGCAATTCTAGTCATATATAATGGCTCGTTCGGCTCCGAGCACAAACATCCAAATTAACCCAGGTTTTGATCATATCCGTATTATTGTCAATCCTCCGTTATACCAAAACCTGGTTATTAGGATTTAGCTATTTGGATGGAATTCGCGTTATTTACAAATCCCCTATTTAGATCAGCTGTTTGTTTACAGAGTTATTATTTAATATTATCTATTGAAATCTTGTCATATTTTATAATGAACTTCAACAAATTTGAGTTCAATTATTATGCATGAGAGAGAGAGATTCAAAAGGGCTTGTATGCCTTAGTTTTTATTTGGCAGCCAATTGTTTGGGCTTGCTCCATCCGTTTCACCTTTGCTTTTTTATTAATTGAATAAATGGCCCCCTCATTTGGTTTTCATGTGCAAAACCACTTATATCTCAAATCTCTTTATCGTTACAAAATTGATAATAGAATTATATGATTAGTTATGAAAGGGAGAATTTCTATTATATTATACCATATAGTTTGAGAGGGCAAACTATAAAATAATAAATGCATACGATATTTTCTGAAATTGCCATACTAAAAGGGGTTGCAATCAAAAGAAAAGGCCAGCTTAAATGGTCATTTCTTGTCAATATTGGGATACATGTTTTTATTTTGTTTTGAAAATAAAAACTAAATAGGGTGACTCCAAATGCGATGCGTATTACATCTCTTTAAATCCCTTAGTGATCAATGGAATTTTTTCTTGCACCCAAAAAAAATAAAAAAATCCCCTTTTCCTTTCTACATAAACACTAAAGACGATAATATGGTCTAAGAAGGGTGATGACCTTAAACTTTCTCTTAACGTCTCTCATACTTAAGTAAAAGAGGATGGGTTTTGTTAGGTAGGCAACCAACGTAAAATTTTGCCAAAATTTATGAATTATGGACATACAGCATGTGGCAGACCTCATATAGCTGACCCCGATTAATTGGAAAAAGGCTATGTGATGTTTTTGGGGTAATTCAATGGGGATGACAAACCCCTAAAATCATTTATTTTGTTTAATGAGAATGGAAGTCAAGACCTTAGCTGAAGCTCCAACGGTGCTACCACTAAAATCCCAACCTCATTTTCAGCTCAATAGCTCATTTGTCTTCCTTTTTAAAAAAAAAAAAAAAAAAAAAATTGTTATAATAGCATTTTATAACTGCTTAATTAATTGTGTCGAATTCAAGTCCCTTTAAGATAGGCATCCCTAGCTGCTATTTATTGCATATTGGTAAGCCCTTAATGTCCATTGGGATGTGTTAAATTAAATTTAGTCATTAGGAGGGTTGGAGCCCATGACCCTTCAAATAGATGTTTACCATTTTTCCATATTTTGCTCATATCCCCATGTCTATTCTTGTAATATTTTCGTTATTACGGACCGTTGCCTTAGCGTGTTTTCTGGTTTTGAACCTTGTCTTAATCATCTAATATCATAAATGCTTGATTCCAACCAAAACAGCATAAACACTTGCATGAGATACATTTCCACCAAAAAGAAGAAAAGAAAATAAGAGGGTTTTCAGTTTTGATCGTCGTCAGTGTTGCAAACTTCGGAATCCGGCTCGGACGGCACGGATTTGGTTCCTATACCCTTAGTTCGACTCAAACGATTCCCAAGTCAAACAAAGCTACAAGTAACAATTGCTTTTCTAAAAAAATAGAAAAACATGGCTATTATGGAAATTTTCAATCCAGTATCACCAGCGTTCCAATTCCATTAAATCAAGATATTCCTACTACAGTGACAAGGTTTTTTTTTTTTCCGCAAATAAGTGGGAGAGAAGGCCCCTACCTGTTTTTTATAAAATAATAATAAAAAGAAATACTGCTCATAGATTTAGGACCCAATAATGTTATTGTTCCTCACATATGAGTAAAAGTTTATGTTTCTATCGGAACTTTGACTTGAGAGAAAAGAGAAGGTCTTGCCCATGAGAGAGAATCAAATGCCCAAGCTCTCTTTGTTGATTATTTTTAACAAGGAAATTGGTGTACCATTTGGAAGAGAGAGTGGGATACCTCCTCCTATGCTTGTCTTCAAAATCCACACTATAGAGACCAAAACGAGCCATATAACCAAAACCAAACTCAAAAGTATCCAAGAATGACCACACAAAATACCCCTTCACATTCGACCCATTCCTACACATAATTCTCAAAATTTCAAGAGTTAGAAAGAGGAAACTATCCTTCTCTTCTTGAAGGAAAAAATAAGTAAAAAGAATCTTTTTTCTCTCAGAATTTGAGGGCATGGACATGTGGATCAATGTCCGATACAGATATGGGTGTCAAGACATACCTGCTTTAAAATTATCTTTTCAAGCATGACATGTACGTACACTAATTAAAAAAACAACGGTGGTAAAAATTTTAAGTAATATTAAGCATTTCTATAGTAAAATTTTAAGTAGAAAGGTTTAGAATAAGTATCTTGAAGTACTAAACAAAGGTGTTGTGTCCTAATGTATTTACACGTGCAAGCAACCATAGATACGTGTGTCCACAACCAATATCATACGAGAAATTCAATTTGCAACGTATTTTACCAGCAAGCCGCATTCATGCCTAGCAACGAAATACATTAACCCTTTGGATACCAATGATCTTTAGATCACGTGGTCACCCACAAAATGTCCCCAATTGGTATAGTGTGGGACCCAGATCGAGACCTAGACCCAATTCAAAAATTAAAATATATATGTACTTAACTATATTTAAATATATTTCATATATTAAGACCCGAAATATATTACAGGACCTAGATCCGAATAGTGTTCGGGTCCAAATCTTGAACCTGGACCAGACCCACCGGATCCCATTTATGGACCCATACTCAGACCTGGATCGGTTTTACCCCTCGGGTCCAGGTCCATTGAGACACCTAAGTGGACACCTGTTTGAGATATTAAATGGCACCACTCCACCATGAATTTGCCACCTAAAATTCTGCCCCAACAATACCCCATTCATGGTTTGGCAGCAAATGAGTCCTAAAAGTGAACGTAGATACTTCATGCATTACAAGACCCTGATTTCACTACTGTGGTCTCACATTGAGAGAGAGAGAGAGAGTCTAATATTAAACCTGAGGTTTTGGGAGAATGTCATGAAAACTTATATTTTTGTTAAGATTGTTAATTACCTTATAGATGAGAGTAAACTTCCCATGTATTGTTCAAGGTACTTTACTCTTATACCATCATCTGCAGCTTCCATAAGAAGTGGAGTGCTAGGACTGTCAACAAGTCCCAGACCTACGATTCAGAAATTCAAAGTCATAATAAGGCAGCAAAAAAGTAGCTATAAAACACTTGAGACTCACCATTTTCATGGATCATTAATGCAATATTTCCGTAATATTGCTTTATATACTTCAACAGTCGTGGCAAACCCTGCGAAAGATATTCAAATGAAGAACCGTCTTCCTGCACATTCAAAACATATCATTCATGCCTCAAAAGAGGAACCCCAATTGATCAAATGGTTGAACATTTATTCCTTTCTTGTATTCAAGAATTACCTCGGTAGGTGATACAAAAATGTTCCTCCAAACTGCATCAACAAACAAATGCAGCAATGTTTAATCCACTGTTCTAACCATGTAAAACCTTCACCAAAAAAAGAAAACAAGAGAGAAGAAGAAAGAGGAAAACAAGGAGGTTAACTATGTCAAACCTCACAAATGTTCTCATGTATAGACTATAGAGGAGCCATCCCTAAACACTATGGTGTCTAATCACCATAAAATCTTGCTTCTTTGCTTGTTACTTAAGTCTACTTCTTCTGTGCCTTCTATAGGAAAGTGTAAAACAATCCTCATGAAGATTTGAAATACGTGGGCATGAAGATCATCACCACGTAATCAATGAGTTGGACGGCGATGGCCAACCAGAACATGACGTGAATTTGATGGTGGGTTCCACTCTCTATTCATCACTGTCGAACCCATTGATCAGATAGTGTTGACATCTGTTTTCCTATGCCCATGAGGATTACCGCATGCTATTCATTCTATGAGGAGATGTGGCAGAAGAGCAAACCCAAATATAGTTTTGCAAAGTTCTGCTAAGGGATACTTACTGAGTAGAAGCTCCTTTGAACAAGTCCTGCCCAGAAGTAAAGAATATCAAAAAAAATAAGAGAGAAAGGTTACCTTTTAATTTGGCGGAGACATCGGTAATGTAGTCCAATCTTTTTGTACGTAATGTAAAACGATAATCTTCTACACCCATTGTAGAATAGTGGTTAAGTCCAATGAAATCAAATGAACCCTTTAACAACTTCGACTCTGTCTTTGTAAACTTTGGTAGACGGGCCTTCACAATCTTTTTCATCGTAACAGGGTAGTCACCTTTCGCTAGGGGATCCATAAACCTAAACAAAATAGTCCAGAAAAGAAAACATTTACTAATGAAGAACAAACAAGTAACATTGGACCTCAGTTTTAAAATTTCCATTGCAGTTTTTTGTGCTCACCAACCAAGGTGAAAATCTCTAACGCGTTTGGAAGCATCGATATTTGTCGATGAGTTCGTAAGAGGTACAAGCCAAAATGCTAGGAGTGTGATTCCTATTTTCCCCTTTTGTTTAGCCTGCATAAAGAATGATCCTCTTCATTGAGAAAAAAACATAAGGGATGATGCAAACATGAAAGTGCACATAAATCCATAACTATATATATATATATATATATATATATATATATATATATATATATAAATAAAGTACATGCATACGTGACGACCGTAAACCGAAAACGAAAATAACTA